AAATACCATCAACAATAAATTGTTTGAATTTGAAATTGATTGATGACATAAATTTCAAAAACACATACAAAAAAAATATGTTGAATTAGGTTATCTGTCCTTTATCACTTTATTTGTTTCAACTTTGAATTCAACAAATCATTTTTGTCAATTCTCTATCAAAATTTATTGGATTGACTAGTTTTTTCAATCATTTTCTCGAAAAAGATTATTATCAGCAATTAATCATTAAAAGAATTGTTCATTTTACAGAGATAAAAGCAGATCCATATGCTTTAACAATTAAATCTCAAATAATTACTTACTTGATCACAAGTAAGTAATTGAGAGCAACAAAGAATCTCGATGATATGCTAATAAGTAAGTTGTTTAGCTTTACATCATATGATCTTAACTTTATTTTTTATATTTACAATAATGGGAATTTTAAATCTCTCCTTACATATACATTTTAATATTAGCATTACTTTCTGGAAAAAGTACTGCAAATTTTTGGCAGATTAATTTTTCAATCATTTTTTGGAATTGATCTCCTTCCTTCCTTCCTTCCTTTCTTCAAAATGTGCAATATTTTTCTTTTAAGGAATCAAAAACTATTAAATGATATATTTCTTATCATCATATCAATAAGTTAAATCAAATTAACATTATTTGCTTTTAGACAATTACTTTTTTTATGAAATTTATGGTAGAAATTGTTTAAATTTCTTCTTCAAAACTATTAAATGACATATTTCTTATCATCATATCAATAAGTTTATATATACTAATAATAATATTTTAGCATTATTAAATCCTAAAAAATTTCAAAATTTGCTTCCTTCAATGGAATTTTATCATTTTTGAAATTGCGAACAACCAACTGAACTTCGATGGAATTCAAATTTATGAACTATGCGGTGACTGTCTCAGTCATTAAAATTTTGATGGTGAATTTTCTGCTTGTGAGTTTGTTTTAAATTCCAATGCATACTTTCTAAGAGTTATCTTTTGAATAATTGTTATTATCAGTATCATTATTAACGATGATAAAATAATGATAAGTGATGTTGAACAATAATAAACAGTGCTAAAACTTTGCCGATTTTTTAGATTTAATTGATGCTTGTCAATAAAATCAAAAATGATAATATTAAATTGCTTTCATTACTTATTGATAAATCAGTAATTTTATTATTTTGAAACTATTCAAATTGAAACAACACAAAATCAATGAAATTCATTTATAGTAAAAACTATTAATTTTAAGAAATAATAATTAAATTTAATTGTCATTGAATTTAATATTCGGTACGTAAGCCATTGTAAATTGAACTAATTGAAACTTTATCATTTCCTAAAAATAATGAATAAGTTTTAATAATACAAAATTTTCCAGCACGAAGTTAACATTCTTAACAGTGCAATCATAAAAGCAATGGTTTTCAGTATGATTTTATTCAAAATAAAATTTTATAAAATGCAATTTTTGATATAATTAATTTAAAGTTTACTTCACTCAAGCAGAATTGTGCAATGTATTTCTTTCCTTTTTTTAGTTAATCTAATTAATTTTTAAAAAAAGTTCTAATCTACTAAATTTTTCAAAAATAAATTTTTTATTTTCAAAATATTGATTTCAGCTAGCAGTGACGTTTGAATATATTTAAGGTAAGCAAGAATGATTGTTCATAATGGAATATCTAATTAACACTTACTTCCAAAATTTTATTCTACTATGAATACACGCTGTCCTACACATTTGGTTTTTTAATATTTAATTCTAAGGAATTCCGAAATTCAAACTTAATGAAAATCAACAAATTTTAAGCTACTGCTTTTTAATTGTTCTCTTATCTAAAATTCAACCAATTAACTATAAAAAAATTAGTAACTATTATCAATTTATGATACATTTATTCAATTTTCTTTTTTTTAAATCAAACCATAAGCTACTGATTAATAAAAGAATTATGAACTATGATAGAGTTGCAGAAGGCTTTGATATTTTAGAATTTATTAAGTTTATAATCTATCAACGTTTGTTTATGTAGTATAACACTAAAAAAATTTGCATATTTCTTGGCTGCAAATTTGCATATTTTTGAAAAAAATGGTCAAAGAATATAAAAAAACAATTAACCACGATAATAATAGTAATAAGGATAGTAATTATATGAATTCCTGTAGTTATTCCCTCTGTACCTACCGTAGTAAGGATAATAATAATTGCTGTATGAATAGTAAGGGTAATAACCATACGAGGGTGATGAAGATGAACTGCTACCAAAATAGCTACCCGCAAGGAAACCCAAACCAGCACCAAGCGCTGTATGCCATGTGCCAAACGAACTCTGCTGATTTTGATTTTCCGGAACACGTCTATCCGGAATAGCAGCAGCTCCAATTCCTGCGTTACCATTAGCATTCAACGACTGAAATTTAAATAAACTTTTACTAAAAATTTTAACTCGTAAATGAGCACTAATACTTAAGTTTTAATATAAAATTTGAAATGTACATTGTTGCCTGCTCTGTTATTATTGAACGATAACACATTTAAATTGAACAATTGCGCATCCGTTTCAGTCATTAGTAATGTTGTGCTGAAAGAGAAGAAATATATTAATAAAAGGTACCTAAATTGAATGAATCATATGATAACAATATTTATTTTAACTTATATTATCAAATACAATAACTTACAGTACTGTTAAAGCAATTAAATATTTAGTGATAAGAAATGGCAGCATAATAAGCAGTCCAAAATTCCTGCAAATATGATTGATAGTATACAATTGACACATTATTAAAATAAGACTTAATTTTTTTTTTTAAATTTAATTCCTATTCAGTAAGAACTAGCAATAATTTAAGCTAAAAAGTTAGCATTTTTATATTGTGGCTAACATTTTGGCATTTTTAGAATGTAAAACTTTCACTTATGCATTCAAGTAATTATTTTAATCAATAAAGATCAAATTTTTTACTACTAAAAATGAATGATTATTGAAACATTTTCATTTCACCACTTTCACCATTAAATAAATATAAAGTGTTGCGCAGAAAAAGTCAAACAATTTACGTAACTGTCGTAAAATTAATGGCACAACATTTCATTGACATTTTTTTTTAAAAAAAAAGAAAGGAAAAACTGGTCCTAAAAGGAGTAAATTAGTTTTGTTCCTGCAGTTGTTATCATCTGAAGTATGACGAAAAGGGAATACGGAACAACTGGAACAATTTCATTCTTTTCATTAAAAGTGTATGGTATGAAAAGTAATTATGTGACATTTTTTATATAAATTTTTTATACAAAGAATTTAGTCACATTTTGATGACACAAATTACTCAATAATATAAATACAATTAAAGTAAACTTGAGCAAAGAAAAACAAAAGTACATCTGTTAAGGGAGACAAATATTCCACTGCTATTTAATGAGATGTTTATCAGTACAGTAATCAAGTTAGTTGACTGTAACATTCTCCTGCTACCGTATACATACTTTTAATAATGTCACCAATCGTAACCAATGCAATGATTATTTCTCTCTTATTTAATTTTCACTGTTAAAAAAAAAAGTATTTTTCTCACTCTTTTTGTATAATTATATTTTTAAACTTTTTTTCAGAATTTGAGTTAGCAGATATGTGATAACACTGGAACAAATAAAAATTGATTGCGTCCTAGTAGGATTATTCCATTTGAGTATAATTTCAATTTTAGAGATCGGAAAATTTAGTAGATTTGCAAGCAAAAAAGAAAAAAAAATCTCATAATAGCTTATGAATATAAAATAAAGCATTTCAAACGGATTTAATGAAAAATTATTCGAAAAGTTACTATTTCGGTTCTTGAATAAATGTAGTTGAAAAAATTCGTAAAATTTTAAATTTAGGTTTTACTTTCCGGAAAGTAACAAATTGTGAAACATTTTTCAAGTAACACTTAGACGTAACATGTACTTCAAGCGAAAATATTTTAACTGTTCAGCGTATTTTACGACGTACATTTAATGAGAAAGAAAAAATAAAACGGTAGAAGAAAACAGTTCGTTAAAAAAACAACGATTTCATTTGAAAAAAAAAAAAAACTTAAACTTGTTTTGTCATGTTTGCTTCATTCTTGTACTTCATTTTTTAATTATGATTTTTGATGGCAACAAGAATTTTTAAAATAGCAAATTATCATTGGTCATAGATCTGAGAGTGAAATTTTAATGGCTAAAAAAATTGTTTACTGATTTTGACTTGATTATGAAGCGAGAAAATTAGTGGTACTTAGCATGACATCCCAGTGCTTAAAGATCAAAACACATAAGTAATTGTTGAAGTGATCGAAATTTTTTGTGTCATTCCATTTGAAGTATTTAGTCATTCTGAAATGGCTGTTTCCCTTGCGAACAAGCACTTTTACAATTAATTGTATTCTTCTAAACTCCTTCCCTCTCTCTCTCTCTCTCTCTCTCGATAATCTATCTGTCACCTATTGATTTGAATTACTAAGACAGCTTTAATTAGGATGAATCATATTTCAAGGTGATAAACAGTGACAAATCATACCAATCAATGATAACATTTGGATGTATTAAAGTAAGTAAAATTAATTGTTCATAACATCGTATATAATTGACACATAATTTCAAAATTTTTGCTTGTAATTAAGCTTTTTTGATATCAAATGTCAATGAATTCCAATAATGTAAATTAAAAGATACTATATTTCAAGAAAACTATTACTTTTCAGTTACTCAATCATTCAAAATCAATAAGTTATTGAGAACAAATTATTTAGTCAATAATATAATCATTTATTTTAATCATCTCTTTCCAATCCATAAGTATTAATCAATACAACAACTATGAAAGAATTACGGAAAGCTTTAATGATTTAATGATAAAAGCTTTAATTTCATAGTGTGTTTAATAACTTATCTATACAGTATAACACTATACAAAATCTTCCATAATTTTTAGAAATTTAAAATTCGAACAATGATTTTAGAGGCAGTAAAGCAATTAACCATAATAATAGTAGTAATAAGGATAACGATAGTAACGCGGATAATAATAACCACCGTAGTATGGGTAATAACCACCGTAGCCATAAAAATATGGTGCTGGTGCTGGTGCTGGTAAGTTTCCGCTTGACAAGCCTCTATTAAATAAACTCCCCGCAATGAAACCTTGTACACCAGCACCAAGCGCAGACAACCAAGGATTCTGTTGAGCTTGATTTGCTTGATTTGGTTGATTTTGTTGATTTTGTTGATTAGCAGCTGGTGGACGTCCACCTCCTGCGTTGGCATTATTGTTCAACGACTAAAATGTAAAATAAATTCTTTACTGAAAAAGTTAATGCTTAAATGAGCACTAATGCTTAGTATATCACATACTGTAGTTGTTCTACGATATATGATACATTAACTATTACCTAGAAAATAAGTATAAAACATACGTTGTCGCCTGCAAAATTATCGTTAAACGATCGAAAGGTAAAAAGTTGCGCATTCGTCCCATCAAACAATAATATTACGCTGAAAGATAAGATATTAACAGATATTATTAAAAGATATCAAATAAATCATATAATAATAGTAAATACTTTAACTTACAATATTGTTAAAGCAATCAAATATTTAGTAATAACAAGTAGCAGCATGACAAATGATCCAAAATTCCTGCAAATATAATTGTAATGGAGCTTACTTCTTTATTATGTCCTTATTGAAGAAAACATATTCTATGAGAATTAACAGTTAACCAAACAGTCGGCTTTATTTTGAGAATGAAATTCTGTTTTTTTTTTTTTTTTGTTTAAGAGATGATATTTTAAGGTATATTTGTGAAACAGAATGAAATTTACATGAAATATATAAAATATATTTGCTTATGTTTGCCAAAAATAACACAGTTGGCTCAATTTTCAAAAAATTTCTAAGCCATAAAATTCAAAATTAATTGTTATTAATAAGCTATGCTGCTCAAATATTTATTTTTAAAAAGTTATTGAAATGAATAATTCCTTCTAATCATTTTTACTATTGGATAAATTTAGAGTGTTGGATAAAGCGACCCAATTGATTTCCGCAATGATAAAACTGATAGTGGCATACTACCCTATCTCTTGTAAAAAAGTTATCATAATGAGAGCTTAGTTAATTTACACTACTGATCGGATGGCACAATGACAATAAAAGAGCATAAGTTTAACTAAACAAGCAAAATAAAACAAACTGCTACTCAAACTTTCTTTCCGAAAAGAAATATTGTACCGTAAATTTCTGAAAAAAGTACGGTAGTTAGTGCTTTACTACAGTATCTCTCTTCTGAAAAAGAGATATCGTAGTAACTAATTTTTATATAAATTTCATATCTTTCTTCGTATTAACTTATTGTAATATTGTCTGAAATTTTTTTGTGATTCAGTAGCTAATAGCAAGAATGCTGAAATTTTATGGTATTTAATATACATAAGTTTTATTAACTATTTCTAACTACAAACAGCTAACATAAAATAAGCCATCCCATTTTAAATTTTACGTAAAATTCATAAACAGTGAAGAGGAACACCAAGTCAATATTAATGAGATAATACAGAAATTATTGATAATTATCATATTTAAATAAGAAATGAAAAATCTGAAAATTTATATAATTCCCAGAAAACAATCATTGTATTCCTCAAAATAGTGTAACTCGCTTTATGATGCAATGCTTAGATTTTCAAAATATTAAAGTTGGCTTTATGCTTTCAAAAACAAAAACAAAAATATGAGTATGGGCAAATAGACATATATAAGCAATGGCAAAATATATGCTATTCTAACAATTATTGTTATAAAATCAAATTGTTTAGCGTATTTGAACTCTTCCCAATGACAAAAGAAGAACTAAAGTGAAAGGGAAAACAGTTCCTTAAGAACTAACAATTTCTTCTAAAAAAAAAAAAAAAAAACACTTTTCAATTATGGTAAACTTGTTCTTTCACTTCCACGTCATCCGTACTTTTATAATTATTACCTTCGATGAGAGCCAACATTTTGTAATGATAAAAAAGTATTGGTCAGAGATCAAAAAGCAAAGTTAGGCTTGATTACTGAATTGAAGATGGAGCCAAGTTATAAAAGTCCTTGTCAACTATACTTTGAACTGTGTTTCAATGATCAGAGTTCAAAGAGATGAGTAATTACTGAGAATTTTTTTTTTTTTTTTCTTATAATATTTAAGAGAAATGAGGAATAATGTGTACTTTGTGCTATTAATCAAAATGAAATTAAAAATTAAAACAGTCATTTTTCTATATTGATTGGTTGAATTATTACAAAAGCGATATGAATGAAATGAAATGCGGTAATAACCGGAATGATTTCGGTTAGTATTCAGGAAATAAGTGGAAAAGTAAGAATATATGATAAAGCTTTATTATATTATTGTAGTATAGTTATTATTGTACTGATTTATTTCAATCAAATAAATTATAAAATGATTGATTGATGCTTGACTTCTACAACTAGAATAACTGTCAAAATCTGATCAACCATAATAGCTCTGATTTATTCTAATTCCAATTCTTTGATTGAAAGAAAACAGTAGTATTGCACATCGTATTTCAACGGAAGTCGACGTAAAACTTTGTTTTAGCTAATATTCCTTCTTTCCTTTTTGAATTCTCATTCATCTTGAAACAGCTTTTACCACTTTACTTTAATTACAGCAATCAATTTTTGAATTTCAGTATGGAGAGGATCAGAATATTTTGTAGTTAACGAATTTTCATTCAGTGAAATGACTTTTCTTTTTTAAATTTTTTCCATAAATAAATACTTCAGCAATCACTACATCCTTCTAACATTTCTATTATTTTTTCACTTTCTGATTGAATATTGATTAAATTTATTTTAATTAGAAGAAATAATGCTTATGATAGCAAATCAAGCTAATTAGCATTATAGAATAGATCAGCAATGGCTTTCCATAAAAGTATAAGTTATAAAGTATTAAGTTTTTTTATGCTATTAAGTTTTAAAGTCTTATTTCGCTGTAAGCATGCATTTTCTCATATTTTCAGCTAGTATTTTACGATTTTACGAATATATTCTGAAAATGAAAACTTGGAGTAATACTTGAATATTTGAAAGTATTTGCTTTTTTATTCTTCAGAAATTCGAATAGTGTAATCATTTTAATAGGTAATTAGCATTAAAACTAGCCAAATACTAATATAGTCATTTACTTTTGTTAATTCACTTCAATCTGTAATTCCCAATTACTTTGATAATTGCATCGGTGGATTATTCCATTTTAGTAATTGAAGAGATCGAGACAATTCGACAGATTTTTGAACAAGATGAATTCTCACAATGGCACATGATGAAACAATAAGGAATTTCAGACGAATTCAATAAATTAATCACAAGTACGGCTTAGATTTTCACATTTTCAGAATTTATTCAGCTCAAAATCTTCATAATAACCGTATTTTTTACCTGCAAAACAAATAGCAAACGGAAATTGGACAAATTTCGAGAATTTTAAGTTTAGACACTGATAAAAATAAATGTTTGGCGGTTTTAAAATAGTTAGCCATAATAATAATAATAATAATAGTAGTAAGGATAACGACGATAGTAATAGTTGTACGGATAATACGGATAACCGTAATAGCCATATTGGACTGGTGAAGACGAGCCTCTATTGAACAAAGTTCCTGCAAGAAAACCGAGACCAGCACCAAGCGCAGTTTGCCACGGAAAAGGATTCTGTTGAGCTTGATTAGCTTGATTAGCTGGATTAGCTGGAGGAGCAGCGGGTCCAAACCCCGCGTTACCATTATTATTCAATGACTGAAATTTTCAATAAGCTTTTAAAACATTTACCAACATACTGTAGATATATAGTGTCAAACTACGTGTTACCTAATAATACGTGAAAAACTTACGTTGCGGCCAACAAAATTATCATTAAACGATTCTAGGGTAAAAACCTGCGCATATATCTGATTACTGAATAAAATTGTGCTGAAAAAGAAGTCACATATTAATAGATATTATTAGCAAATATTAAATGAGTCATATGAAAACAGCAAATACTTTAAACTTACAGTATTGTTAAAGTAATCAGATGTTTAGTGATAACGAATAGCAGCATAATAAGTAACGTAAAATTCCTGCAAATATAATTTGTAGTTTTCGGAAAATAAACATTCCATTGCGAGATGATATGTTTATCTGTAAAGTAATTAAGCTGGCTGATTGGTATAAATCGCAGTACCATTACTAATCATAACCATAACAAGGTTACTCTTGTATTTTTATGGATACTTCATGAATACTTATGAAATAGATTTAAATTTAAATGGGATGTATGAAATTCATCTTAACCGTATCTATCAAACCGTATTTGCTTCACTCTTCGCAAAAGTTTTGAAAATTTTATGAAAAGAGCTATTGCAATTGATATGGTAAAGCAAGAAGACATTTGAAATTTTATTCTGTAAAAATTATTCAAAAGTTGTTTTTAGCCTTGAATAAGAGATTTAGAATGAATTGAAGAGATTCATAAAATCATGCAGCTAAGCTTTTACTTTCCGGAAAGATATATAAGTGCGCAAACGGAAAAGAAACGCAAAAGAAAATGTAGTTCAGTATGTTTTGCATCACTATGATGACATTTAATGTAAAGGAGAAAATAAAGCAATAGAAGAAAAGGTTTCTTTAAAAATTAACCAAGAATAAAAGTGTGACAATGCTGATGAAAGTTGTGATAAACTTGTTCTTTCGCTAAAGTTATCTTTACTTTCTCTTTTAATTATAACTTTTTATGGAGGCCAAAAATTTGGAATGGTAGAGCATTATTTATTGAATCTAATCATAAATCAACATTTTGATTTTATTTTGACTTTAGAATAAAACATCAGCTAGACGTACTTGATGTAATGTTTCAATGAAGGTTAATCCTTTTCGTGTATTCATCCGCCCTAAAGCATTTTTTTTTTTTTTTTTGTTTACTTCATTTTTTCTTTTTTTGTATTTATTACATTTCTGCAATCAGTATATTTCTCTAGAAGTCATGATAAACCATACCATTCAGCACGAGTCAATAATGGCACATTTTGGTTGGCGCAATGATCCAAGGTTTTATTTTGCTAATAATATGTTTTCGGTATTGAATTTCAAGGAATTCTAAAAATGCAACCTTGAAGTTATCGTACTTCTTGAGAACTACTGTCTTAATTACTCAATTACCTGAAATTGAGTAAGTGATAGTAATAAAATTGAAAAATTACTGTTAGATTCATTGACTTTTCTTTTTTCAATCCATAAGTTACTGATTAGTGTAAGCATTTTATCCTACAAGAAAAGCCTTTGGTGATGACAACTTGCTGCACAGATTTTTGAGATAAATTTGAAATTTATTAATTCCACAATATATTTGATTTTTTGTCACAGAACACAACGTCAAACGAAAAAAAATTTGCATATTTCATACAAATTTAGAATATACACAGCTATACAAAGGCAAAATGAGCAATTAACCACGATAATAATAGTAATAAGGGTAGTAACTATATGAATTCCTGTAGTTATTCCCTCTGTACCCACTGTAATAAGGATAATAATAACTGCCGTATGAATAGTAAGGGTAATAACCGTATGTAGATGATGATGATGATGAAGACAAGCCTCTGCTAAGAAAGCTACCCGCAAGGAAACCTAGGCCAGCACCAAGAGCAGATTGCCACGTGCCAAAAGGATTTTGTTGAGCTTGATTTGCTTGATTAGCTTGATTAGCTGGAGCAGCACCAGGTCTAGCACCTGCGTTACCATTACCGTTCAACGACTGAAATTTAAATTAGATTTTTAACTCTTGAATAAGTAATTATTACTTAGTGCATCACATTAGTATGTGATTCATTAAGATCAGAGATGTGAAACTTACGTTGTCGCCTGCTCTGTTGTTATTAAATGACAAAAAGTTTAAATTGAGTAACTGTGCATTCATTTCGTCAAATGATAGCATTATGCTAAAAAAAAGACATACGTTAGCAGGTAAATAAACTGATTTAATCATATGATAACAGTAAATGGTTTAACTTTTATTATCAAATACAATAACTTACAGTATTGTTAAAGCAATCAAATATTTAGTGATAACAAATAGCAACATAATAAGCAATCGAAAATTCCTGCAAATATAATTGGTTGTAATACGTTCATGTCTTATTGTATTTTTGTTATAGGAAACTTGTTTGACAAGAATTAAAACTAAACATATTTTTTTAACGTTTTTTCAATAAACTTTCAGGAAGTGACGTTGCATATACTTTAAGGACAATGTAACAAAAATGGGTAACAACTACTGAAATAATTTCATTACATCGTTTTCGCCGATTCATAAACTAAAGGAAGCTAATTAGTTGTTTAAGAATTTTTACATCCAAAAGAATCGAATACAGAACAATTAGAAACAAAAAGTTGATTGTGTGAAAGTAATTGTGTGTAACTAATTCTATGTGTTTGAAGAGCTTATTTTAAAAGTGCAAAAGACTCAATTACAATATAATAATACGATATAGGTTTAACTAAGACAGGTAAGACAGCACTACTCAAACATTTTTTCCAGAAGGAAACATTCCACTATGAATTCCTGAAATTAAGAAAATCATTCTAGTTAAAATTATTGACAAGTGGTTAAGCTAGATGATAGTATTTTCTGTTCCTCATTACCGTATCTCTTTCTCTTCTTTCAGAAGAAGCGATATAGTAATAATTAAATCGTAATATATTCTAAGCAGATTTCATCGCAACATAAGGTAATGGTTGAAGAATAAGGTAAGATTACTACTACTTTACCTATACTTTTTGTTATTTAAGGTATCTTACATCATATGGTACTCAAATAATTAAGTGATTAGCTCAAAACAGATCACAAAGCTCAAAAAGTCAGTTGATTTTATTACACAATTCAAACAACTGCTGTATCTAAGTTTTTGCGAATGAAATTTAAAATAAGTATCACTACTTCTAATGAAATACAAAATAAGTATTACTACTTCTAATGAAATACAAAATAAGTATTACTACTTCTAATGAAATTCAAAATAAGTATTACTACTTCTAATGAAATTCAAAATAAGTATTACTACTTCTAATGAAATTCAAAATAAGTATTACTACTTCCAATGAAATACAAAATAAGTATTACTACTTCTAATGAAATTCAAAATAAGTATTACTACTTCTAATGAAATTCAAAATAAATATTACTACTTCTAATGAAATACAAAATAAGTATTACTACTTCTAACAGTTGAATAGTGAGTTACATGCAAAATGTGTAGCATTATGTGGAGGATTGATCAACTAAACTGATAATATAAAAAAAATTTAAAAGTCAATCAAGGTTGAAAATGTCCGCAAACTATTAAGTTATTTGTTGATGATCAGAAGTTATCTAAAAAAATTAAAAGATAAAGAACATAGTTCCTTAAGAACTCACAATTTCTATCGAAAAAACTGCTAAAAAATTACCTTGTTCTTTTTCTTGGTAAACTTGTTCTTTTTCTTCCGCGTCATTTGTACTTTTTCCTTTAATCATGATTTTTGATGACATGATTTTAGATAACATTTGTCAAAGATTTAAGTGCTAAGTCCTAATGATTAGCAAAACCATTTATTGATTTAAATTTAATTATTGTATGAAAGATTGAAAATGAACTCCTTGTCAGGTACATTGTAAATTATACTCAAAGTTATATTTCAATGATTGAAGATCGATAAAATGAATAATAGCTGATCAGGACAGAATTTTTTGAGTTTTAGTTTATTGAACTTTTTTATATGAATATGCTATAATCAACATATTCCTCTAATGCCGTTATTGATGAAAGTTTTTTTTTTTCAATTAAATAATTAATTAAATTGATTTTAAATGGAAAAAGTGATATTATGACATATGCATCTGACATACAATTGCAAAGTTTATTCCATTACAAACAATTACTTAACCAAAATTCAGTAAGTAGTTGGTAGCAAAATTAATCAATTATTCTTAGCACTTCTTTTCATTTCATTAGTTACTAATTAATAAGAACACTAAAGATTATAATATAAACGCGAATGATTTTAATAACAATAACATGTAAGCAATGAATTTTTAATATTTTTTAAAAAATATATTCAGTTTATTATGCATTTAACATTTATCTACACAACATAACAAATTTTTACATAATTTTCAAAAATTTAAGTCTGCAAAATGACAAAAAGGTATTTGGCAATTGTAAAATAGTTAACCATAATAATAGTAGTAATGAGGATAACCACCGTAATAATAGTTGTACGGATAATACGGATAACCGTAATAGCCATATGAATATGGTGAAGATGAGCCTCTGCCTAACCAACTTCCTGCAAGAAAACCGAGACCAGTACCAAGCGCAGTTTGCCATCCATCAAAAGAATTCTGTTGAGCTTGATTAGCCCGATTAGCTTGATTAGCCTGATTAGCTTGATTAGCTTGATTAGCTTGATTAGCTGGAACACGTCCAATCCCTGAGTTAGCGTTGTTGTTCAATGACTGAAATTTGAAACAAACTTACTAGAAAAGTTAATACCATAAACAATAATATTGGAGTTACTACTGTATTATGACATACTGTAATTCTGCTACAGTAAGCTGTAACATTAAGCATTATTTAACAATAAACACAAAACATACGTTGTCACCTGCAAAATTGTCATTAAATGATCGGAGAGTTAAAAGTTGCGCATCCATCTTATCAATTAATAATATTGTGCTGAAAGAGAAGCAATATGTTAATAGATATTATTAATAGGTATTGAATGAATCATATGATAACAGCAATAGATTAACTTACAGAATTGTTAAAGTAATCAAATATTTGGTGATAACGAATGGCAGCATAACAAACAATCCAAAATTCCTGCAAATATAATTGTTAGTGTGCAATTAGTATTATTACAATAAAGTTTCTCCTTCATTAAATGCTTACTGATGAAAACATTCTGTGAGATTTTACTGTAAACCGAAAAGTTTGTTTTTTTATTTGTTTTTTATATATGAGGATGATATTTTGTTACTTTTAGGAGACAATAATTTTACGTATACTTTTAGGAGATATTTTTAGGTGAACAGGCGAAATACATGTAAAATATATGGAATATATTTGCTTGTGTTTGCCGAAAACAACACCGTTGGTTCAATTTTTAGAAAAGTTATGAACCATGAAGTTCAGAAATAAACTGTTAAGAAGCTGGGACATTCAAATTCGGTGAGATTAAATTCTCTACATGATGATTATTGATACAATTTGATTTCGTCAGTCACATTATTGGGTAAAGTGAATTAATTTAAGTAACGCTTAAAATAACAGCAAACTTTGATGACTTTCACAGAAACTAATCCCAAGGGAGATCAATGAGTTTTATCTTCGAAATGTCAAAGTATTTTATGGCATTAAGAAAGTTATAGAACATACAAGAATATAGGATGTAATTATGTGACTAATTCTGTGTTTAAGTCATTAAATTCCATTGCAAAATATTCATCAACAAAAATATCGCTAGGTAAACTGAGCCAAATAACTCATAACTATTACATATCTTTCTAGAAAATAAGCTTTCCATCATGAAATGAAATGTTTTTCTATAAAATAGTTAAGCCAATTAATTGCCACATATTCATTCAATACTATACCATTACTGATAATCACTACAAGGGTTATTCATTTTCTATTAATTCTCTTTGTCAACCGTATTTACTTCGCTTTTCGGGAATGATTTGAAAATTTTATAAGAAAATTCAATGAAAAATTATTCAAAAGTTAGGTAGATAAATATTCCTTATTGGTGGTTACGATTGGTAATGGTGAACAGAACGACGTTGGTATTTATAATGGATTGAAGAGATTCTTAAAATCTTGAAGTCAAGCTTTTGTTTTCTGAAAAAGATATGAGCAGATAACTGGATACGCTATTTAAATAATGATTGTTATGAAGCGCATATTACAGAAGAAAATGTCGCAGTAATTCAGTGTATTTTGCGTCACCCTGATGACGACACACATTTAAAATTAATTTGAAGGAGAAAATAAAGCGATAGAGGAAAAGGGTCCTTTAAAAAACCGAGGATATCTTTGGGAGAAAAAAAAGTCCTACTATGAAACTTGTTCTTTCTTTTGGGTCATCTGCACTTTTCCCTATAATAAACTTGTGATGGCGGTCAAAATCTTCGAATAACAAAGTGAAACTTGAATGTTAGGTCTAATTCTACTGGAAGAAAAACTCCTAATCAGTTTCAGATACTTGGCATGACATTTCAGTGATTAATGATAGGTAAATGAGTAATAATTATTATGAACATTAGACTTTTCTGTGTCGTTTCTTTTTAAGTGTTTATTAACCTTGGAATAACTTTTTTTCTGTATTTCTACAACCAGCACATTTTTCTTATTGATCTTATCAATGAAATTCTTAATTCAATGATAGAATTAAATCAATTTTAATTGGAGAAAGTGGTATTCTGGGGGTGATTGTCATAACAAATCATGTCATTTAGTACCCGCCAATAATGACACATCGTGATTGGCGTAAAGATCTAAGGTTTTATTTTGCTAATAATATGTTTTCGGCATTGAATTTCAAGGAATTCTAAAAATGCAACCTTGAAGTTATCGTACTTCTTGAGAACTACTGTCTTAATTACTCAATTACCTGAAATTGAGTGAGTGATAGTAATAAAATTGACAAATTACTGTTATATTCATGGACTTTTCTTTTTTCAATCCGTAAGTTACTGATTAGTGTAAACACTTTATTATCCTACAAGAAAAGCCTTTGGTGATGACAACACAGATTTTTGAGATAAATTTGAAATTTATTAATTCCGCAATATATTTGATTTCGTCACAGAACACAACGTCAAACGAAAAAAATTTGCATATTTCATACAAATTTAAAATATACACAGCTATACAAAGGCAAAATGAGCAATTAACCACGATAATAATAGTAATAAGGGTAGTAACTATATGAATTCCTGTAGTTATTCCCTCTGTACCCACTGTAATAAGGATAATAATAACTGCCGTATGAATAGTAAGGGTAATAACCGTATGTAGATGATGATGATGATGATGAAGACAAGCCTCTGCTAAGAAAGCTACCCGCAAGGAAACCTAGGCCAGCACCAAGAGCAGATTGCCACGTGCCAAAAGGATTTTGTTGAGCTTGATTTGCTTGATTAGCTTGATTAGCTGGAGCAGCACCGGGTCTAGCACCTGCGTTACCATTACCGTTCAACGACTGAAATTCAAATTAGATTTTTAACTCTTGAATAAGTAATTATTACTTAGTGTATCACATTAGTATGTGATTCATTAAGATCAGAGATGTGAAACTTACGTTGTCGCCTGCTCTGTTGTTATTAAATGACAAAAAGTTTAAATTGAACAACTGCGCATTCGTCTCGTCAAGTGAGAGCATTATGCTAAAAAAAAAGGACATACATTAGCAGGCAAATAAACTGATTTAATCATATGATAACAGTAAATACTTCAACTTTTATTATCAAATACAGTAACATACGGTATTGTTAGAGCAATCAAATATCTGATGATAACGAATGGCAACATAGCAAATAATCGAAAATTCCTGCAAATATAATTGTTAATATGCAACTGTTGCTATTACAATAAGGCTTACATCATTATTGCATTCTTGCTGTAGGAAACTTGTTTGGCAAGAATTAGCACTAAACTTTAGTACGAAACTTGTTTTTCACTTTACACTTTGTTTTAACAAATTTTCAGTAAACTTTCAGGAAAAGAATCCATATTTAAAATACAACATATATTTTCATCATATCAGTATTATCGATTCATTAACTAAAGGAATCTGATTACTTCTGTTTCTGAATTTTCATCATCTAAGGAAATAGAAAGAAAAAATTACGACTGAAAACAGCAAGTTGAGAAAGTAATTGTGTGATTAATTTTGTATGTTCACAGATTTAATTTGAAAGTGCGAAAGATTCAATTACAATAATACGACATATGTTTAACTAAGAAAGTAAAACAACACTACTCAAACTTTCTTTCCGGAAAAGAAACATTTCACTATGAATTCCTGAAATTAGGAAAATATGTAATCGTTCTGTCAGTACAGTAGCTAAGCTTAGTGATATGTGCTTAATCTAGCTAACTGTTGAGGAAGAGATATAGTAATAATTAATTGTTATATTGATTTCACATCTTTCTTCTTCTTGGCTTTCTCGTAATATTTTGACCTAAACAGATCATGGATCATGGATGATTCATTTCATGGCAACAATGAGTAATGGTTGAATAAAATGTTGATATCTAAGGGATCCTTTCATCAAGTGATATAAATGATTAAATTCTATTTGATTGTAAAACTCAAAAATTTCAAATCTCAGTTCATGAAGAGTTGAAGAAAATATCAAATCAGTATTCGTAGTGGGAGAATAAAGCAATAAAAAAAATATTCAGAATAGAACAAAAGATCCTTTATGCATTTGAAATGAAATTTTGAAATTTACAAATTTATTTAATTACCATAAATTTTGCACTTAAATTGCACTTTTATAAACAAAGGTCGTTGGAAAAATCTAGTAGTACGCTGTTAAATAGTAAACAATTTCAGTTGCATTAATTATATCATTAGGAAATATCTATTGGTTAATAACTGTTCGATATTTTATTCAACAATCACAAAAATGATATCCGAGAAAGATTTAAAAGATAATTTAAGAAGATATGGGTAAAACTGATGAGAAAATTCGTTGTCACAATCAGTCAAATTGATTAAGCAATCTTTTTTTTTTTTTTTTCAAACCTGAGATCTTAGCCAGTTACTTCGAAATAATTTCTTTATGATTCTGTTTTCTCATGAATATAATAAACTAAGAAAATGTCCTTAAATATTTTTGCAAATTTTTTTTTCTTTTTTTATCATACCTCTAATACACAGTATTTTTCTGTCAAATGCAAAAAGAAATTGACTATTTATTTCACATCTACTCAATTTTTCAAATTTCATTCCTTCTCTTGTTTTAAAGTTTAACATTTCCTTCACTGTAAAAATATAAGGTACACATCCACCTACAATAATATGAAACGGTGTAAACAATTTAAAGAGTATATATGTAGATTTGAGGAAATACTAATTAATTTACAGCTATTAGTTTCTTAAATAATTTTATTGTTCACGGAACACTCAAACCAAATAGATTTGTGAACAAAAAAATTTACGATAAAATATTATCAATCAATAAAATATTTAAAGCAAATTCTTTTCGATGGAGTAAAAAAATTAATCAAAAACTATTGTTTTGATTGTTAAACAAACGTAAACAAATTTACACTTTTAGTTTCCAGAAATTAATACGGTTGAGCATATAGAGCTAATAAACATTCACAAAATTTGTAGTTTTAGGAAAATAAACATTCCACTGCGAGATGATATGTTTATCTGTAAAGTAATTAAACTGATTCATTGGTATAAATCCTAATACCATTACTAATCATAACCATAACAAGGTTACTCTTCTATTTTTATGGATACTTCATGAATACTTATAAAATAGATTTAAATTTAAATGGGATGTATGAAATTTGTCTTAACCATAGCTATCAGTCGTAGGAAATGAAATTTTTGTGAAAAGAATTATCACAATTGATAAAGTAAGGCAAGGAAGGATTAAGAAAGTTATTCATTTGCTTCTACAGCTATTGTAATTCGTATAGATAATGGATTAAAGAGAGTAAAAGATCTGAAATCGATCTTTTACTTTCCAGAAATTTAAACGATTGATCAAATAGAGCAAATAATTATAAAATATATATATTTATTATTAATGCTGTTCCAATACTAATTAAGATAAAGCACATATCACAAAAGAAAATGTTCCAATTGTTCAAATATTTTACGACGTTTCAAGGACGACATGCGACATGCACTTGATGCGAGAGAAGAAATAAAGTGACAGAAGAAAACAGTTCTTTAAAATTTAACGATTTTTTTTCGAAAAAAAAAATAAGACAAAATTACTACTTTGGTTAAACTTGTTCCTTCACTTCCACGTTTTTTGGATTTTTACTTTTTTCTTTAATCAAAATTATGACTTTTAACAGCAGAATTTTGAAAGAGCAAAATGTCATTGCTCAGAGATCAAAGCGTAAAGTCTTAATTGTCTAGCAAAACTGTTTATTGCTTTAGGCTTGATTATTGAATTGAAGATGGAGCCAAGTTATAAAAGTCCTTGTCAACTATACTTTGAGCTGTATGTCAATGATCAGAGTTCAAAGAGATGAGTAATTGCCGAGAATTCTTTTTTTTTTTTTTTTTTGTATTTAAGAGAAATGAAGAATAATGTCTACTTTGCCATTAATCAAAATAAAATTAATGCACCAACAAAAATTAAAAAATTAAAACAATTATTTTATTATACTGATTGTCGTGAATTTGAATTAACTTTTTGGTCAGAAAAGTAGTTGATTTAGATTAGTTAAGTTCACTTGACTTACTTTAAGTTTGTAGAACTTGAACTGAATCTTTTGCTTCTTATCTGCTAGCGAGATTGACCCAGATATGATTTATTTTCCTTATACATGTGAATCGATACAATATACAGTCGAATAATTGAAAGTCGAATAATTGAAACAGCGAAGGAATAAATGGTACTGTTGAGGAGGAGGAAGAGAAGACTGCCACCGATCTTTTCTTTCTTATTAACTGATTAGAGAAAATTTTTTGGGATAGAGGAGTGGGCTTGGTTTAGCGATGAAGACAGATGTACATTTACTATTTGAGGTTTAGATAAAGAAATCATTGTTTCGAAAAAATGGAATATAACAAAGGAATGGGTTCGGTCATTATTCAGGGAATAAGTGGAAAAGTAAGAATATATGATAAAGCTTTATTATATTATTGTATTACAATGGTTATTGTACTAATTTATTTCAATCAAATAAATTATAAAATGATTGATTGATGTTTGACTTCTACAACTAGAATAACTGTCAAAATCTGATCAACCATAATAGCTCTGATTTATTCTAATTCCAATTCTTTGATTGAAAGAAAACAGTAGTATTGCACATCGTATTTCAACGGAAGTCGACGTAAAACTTTGTTTTAGCTAATATTTCTTCTTTCCTTTTTGAATTCTCATTCATCTTGAAACAGCTTTTACCACTTTACTTTAATTACAGCAATCAATTTTTGAATTTCAGTATGGAGAGGATCAGAATATTTTGCAGTTAACGAATTTTCATTCAGTGAAATGGCTTTTCTTTTTTAAATTTTTTCCATAAATAAATACTTCAGCAATCACTACATCCTTCTAACATCTCTATTATTTTTTCACTTTCTGATTGAATATTGATTAAATTTATTTTAATTAGAGGAAATAATGCTTATGATAGCAAATCAAGCTAATTAGCGTTATAGAATAGGCCAGCAATGGCTTTCCATAAAAGTATAAGTTATAAAGTGAAATGTTATTAAGTTTTAAAGTCTTATTCCGCTGTAAGCATGCATTTTCTCATATTTTCAGCTAGCATTTTACGATTTTACGGAATATATTCTGAAAATGAAAACTTGGAGTAATACTTGAATATTTGAAAGTATTTGCTTTTTTATTCTTCAGTAATTCGAATAGTGTAATCATTTTAATAGGTAATTAGCATTAAAACTAGCCAAATACTAATATAGTCATTTACTTTTGTTAATTCACTTCAATCTGTAATTCCCAATTACTTTGATAATTGCATCGGTGGATTATTCCATTTTAGTAATTGAAGAGATCGAGATAATTCGGCAGATTTTTGAACAAGATGAATTCTCACAATAGTATATGATAAGGAACTTCGGACGAATTCAGTGAATTATTCAAAAATAGTGCTTAGATTACGAACACATTTTTAAAATTTATTTAATTAACAATAGCTATGACTTTTATCTAAAAAACAAAATGCCAGACGGAACTTGGACAATTGTTGAAAATTTGAAGTTTGTACAAAAGTGTTTAGCGGTTGTAAAATAGTTAACCATAATAATAGTAATAGGGGTTACGATGGTAGTAATAACTGTACGGATAATACGGGTAAGCGTAGTAACCATATGGATATGATGAAGTTGAGCCTCTGCCTAACCAACTTCCTGCAAGAAAACCGAGACCAGCACCAAGCGCAGTTTGCCACGGAAAAGAATTCTGTTGAGCTTGATTAGCTTGATTAGCTTGATTAGCTGGAGGAGCAGCGGGTCCAGCTCCTACGTTAGCATTATTATTCAGTGACTGAAATTTAAAAATTTAAATTGATGCTCTGAACAGCAATAACATTTGATAGCATACTGAATTTCTGCTAGATAAGTATATAACTTACGTCACGACCTAAAATATTTCGATTAAACGAGTCTCGGACTAAATTCTGCGCGTCTATTTCATCAATGAATAATATTGTGCTGAAAAAGAAGTCACATATTAATAGATATTATTAGCAAATATTAAATGAGTCATATGAAAACAGCAAATACTTTAAACTTACAGTATTGTTAAAGTAATCAGATGTTTAGTGATAACGAATAGCAGCATAATAAGTAACGTAAAATTCCTGCAAATATAATTTGTAGTTTTCGGAAAATAAACATTCCATTGTGTGATGATATGTTTATCTGTAAAGTAATTGAGGTGGCTAATTGGTATAAATCGCAGTACCATTACTAATCATAACCATAACAAGGTTACTCTTGTATTTTTATGGATACTTCATGAATACTTATGGAATAGATTTAAATTTAAATGGGATGTATGAAATTTGTCTTAACCGTAGCTATCAATCGTAGGAAATGAAATTTTTGTGAAAAGAATTATCACAATTGATAAAGTAAGGCAAGGAAGGATTTAAGAAAGTTATTCGTTTGCTACTACAACGATTGTAATTCGTATAGATAATGGATTAAAGAGAGTAAAAGATCTGAAATCGATCTTTTACTTTCCAGAAATTTAAACGATTGATCAAATAGAGCAAATAATTATAAAATATATATATTTATTTACTATAAATTCTATTCCAATAATAATTAGACAAAGCGCATGTCACAAAAGAAAGTGTTCCAATTGTTCAATGTATTTTATGTCAGTTCAGTGACGACACGTATTTGTACGATAAAGAAAATAAAATGACAGAAGAAAATGGTTCCTTAAAATTTAACGATTTTTCTCGAAAAAAAAAAAGTGCAACAAAATTACTACTTTAATAAACTTGTTCTTTTTCTTCCGTGTCGGATGTCGGATTACTTTTTCCATTAATTAAAATTATAATTTTTGATGGAACAATTTTGATTAGAGATCAAAGCTCAAATTCTTTACGTCTAACAAAACTGTTTATTTATTTAGGCTTGATTGCTGGATTGAAGATGGAGCCAAGCTATAAAAGTTCTTATCAGCTATACTCTGAGTATGTTCTAATCCTTAAAGTTTTGCATAATATTTACTAGAAATAAGGTATAATGTGTGTTTTGTGTTATTAATTAAAATAAAAATGAAAAACTTGAAATGATTACTTTTTTTTATTGATTAGTTGAATTATTACAAAAGTGATATGAATGAAATGAAATGCGTCAATATTTTTCCTTTGTACTTCTCATAATAACTGAGTAAATTCACAAAATTTGATTATTAGTTCAAATTGTAATTTGATAAACCAATTGGAATTATATTTCAGTTTTTTTTTTTTTTTTTTGTAAAACGTAGTCAAATAGATTTATCAAAATTTAAAGTCTATTTTATATTCACTTCTAAGTAATAGCAACTTTATTTTATAGTTGATACAAATGCAAATTTCAATTTCAGGATCGATTTGTTGAACATAAACCATGCAAATATGCAAATATAAGGTCATTCGGTATGAAAAATTACTTTAATGTGAAAGTAATGTGTTTGAAATTAAGTAATATGTTTGAAGTACTAAAATTAAATTACTCATGATTTGTCAATAAAAAATCAATTAGTCAGATTGAACTGATTAGTTAAATTAAAAATGAATATACAGAAGTTGAAGTATTTATACTTTTTCAATTATTTTTTCTCAAATTTTAGAGTTTTTTTTTTGGTAAATTCACTACTATTTTTAAAAAATTAAAAAACGAAAATACAAAGTGCTTTATTTTTTTTCTATTTTTTTTTTTTTTTTTGAAACATTCAAACACATTTTTTTAAGTTTTTTTGACAATTAAAAATATACATTAGCGTTGCCCTAAATTTCTCAACATTACTCATTCGTTCTAAAAGGTTTTATAATGATATTGTGTCATTGAAAAATTTTTAAATTCGAAAATTCGATGGTAAACAAATAAATTTTTTAATTAATTCTTTAATTAACAATTTTTATGAAATGTTTTTTTTTCCTACATCATTTAAATGACAAAAGATAAGAGAGCAAATGATGAAATAAAATTGATTTGAAATTAGTATGATAACATTTTTTATTTTGTTAAAATTACTTGTTTGGTTTAAGATTTTTTTAATTGAGAGTTACAAGAATTGAATTTTTGATTTTCATTTTTGAATATTACAACAAAAAATTGCTGCTTTTCTCCCATTTTTTTTTTCAAAAAATAAAAAAATAAAATAAAATAAAAACAAAAGTTTGTGTCGAATTAATAATTTAACAAATCCATTTTTTCACAATTTATTTTTTCTTTTTGTTATTCAGAGCAATCATAAACGATGAATAGTAAAAAGTAGTTAATTTATAAAAAAATTTTTTAATTTTTATTATATACATGCTTTGAATTGATTTTTAATATGGGTGTAATTTAGTTATTAAGTTATCAGATAATTGATTACAGTGATACGTATAAGTATTTACATGAATAATTCATATATAAATATTTCAAAAATATTTTCAAATGCAAGTTAAATTTGACTAACCGGATTGGATGACTTTTTTTTAACATAGCAAACAGTCCAGTAAAACTTTTTATCATCATTAGTGATAACTGATTTATACAATCATGTATAAATAAATGTTATAATTTGATCATTTAATGAAATTAGACAGTTCCATCTTAATTCACTATTTTCATTTCTTATAATCAATTCATATTAGTGTTTTGATTTCTGATATCATTCATATAAAAATACCATTCCTATCGACCTATTAATTTGTTTTCCTTTTAATTTTTGACTTAATTAATCTAAACATTATTAGATCAGAAGTGATTAATTTTTGATTTTCTAATACATTCTGTTGTTCGCATTTTTTTCAAACGAATTTTAAACTGTTTAATTTAACTGTCAACTATCAACATTCCAATCCAATTAATATAGGTGTGTGGTTTGATGATTAAGTAAATAAGAGTTATACTCGGTCTGTTCAACTATTTCAATAGTTACGAAGGGTAAATGTACTAAAATTGGCTTTTTTGACAATTTATCATTCTTGAAAAAATTTAAAAGAAATTATTTAATACGACAGTTTCATTAACAATTCCAATTCTAAAATTTGTGTAATTAATTAATTTTTTTTTTCCTTTTGAAATCAAAACAATTACTAAATGACAATAAAATTGTTCAAACATTCAAGGTATTCAAGTGCTTAGTCATAAAAAATATATGTGACAAATTCATTTTATTATTTAAAAAATGAATGATCAGCAAAAGGAGAAAACGATAGGATAAGGATAGAAAAGTAAATTTTTTCAATTTTACTGATCACACTGACATCGATAAAATATTAAATTACATTTCATTGAAATATTATCGTAAAGAATATCGTCAATAAATGCACGAAAAAAAAAAGAAAAGAGAAAAAAATAGGAAATGAAAAAAGTTACCTTTAATAAAGGTGAACAAACAAAGAAAAAAAAACGAAATGAAATGAAAGAAAAGAGAAAATGATTTCACCAATATTTGCAAATTATTAATTGTCAACTTATTTCAATCTCAACTTGTTTGACATTTTTTCGAAACTAAATTGTGATATTTTAATATGTGAAATTTGCAATGTTGTCGTTTTACTTACATTTTAATATTAAATATCAAATTCAATTTACAAATAAAGACGAAATAATAGTTAGAACGGTAATTTGATTTATAACTTTTTCAAACATTTGGCTGAAAATCTTTGGAATTGTGATTAATTAAGATAACAATAATCATAAATATTGTGATTAATTAAGAAAACAGTAATCATAAACATTGTGATTAATTAAGGTAACAATAATCATGAATACAATTATCATAATAATAATCATAAGCACAATTATCATAACAATCATTTGACATTGTGATTAATTAAGATAACTATAATCATAAATGCTTGTTAATGGTTATCACTAACAGTTATCAGTTATCCATTTGTGATCATTTTTCTGTTCTAAAAAGATCATAATAACATGCTACAAAAATGATCTTAAATAAAAGAATAATGATAAGCTGTCAGTGATAAAGAAATTTTGATTATTTATTTATTTAATTTTTTACTTAATAAATAGATGAGTGTGGTGTAACATTTTAATAATAATTTTGCATCATAACAACGACAAATAAATTAAAACGAAAAAAAAAATGCTGTTAATATATATTTTACTGATGATAAGAAATTTGCATGCGAACAAATTTGATTAAAATGATTTTCGTCTTTCCAAATATCATTTATCAGTCCTACTCTTCATAGCAAGTGATACAAAGGTGATTTGATATTTTAGGAATATAACTGTTTGGTTGATTTGGTTTATTAATTTTAATTTAACAATTTTCTGTTCAGCATTTTATCTATTAGTATCATTCACTTATCAATATCAGAAGTATATTGTCAGTTACAAGTTATCAATACCAGAAGTGCACTGTTAGGTGCAAATGTACATTAAAAATTTTCAAATTTGCGATTTCAAATTTTATCATAAGTCTTTAATTTAAAATACTATTTTAATTATTTAAAAAAGATAAAAAGCTCAGTAAAGATTATAGTTCATATATAATAAAATTTTAGATAAACTCATGTGGCATTCTTATGTTCCGGTGGAATTAATGATAGTAACATTGACAATATTGGTGACACTAAATAATTGCGCAACTGAAATAACAAGAACGCCATATCGAATTGTTGTGAAAGGAAGAATGATGTGTGGTAATAAAGGAGCTTATGCAGTACTGCTTAATATATTTGAAGAAGTTAAATGTAAATTTTTCATTTCAGTTTACTTAAATATATTTTTTATTTTAGGAAGTAAAATTTTAAGTTTCAAAAAAACTTTGCAATCACTTTTTATTTACACTTTTCACGTAACATCTTGAAATTACCAAATTAATTTCTGTTATTTTCTATCTATCCGCTTTGATTTCTATAAATAACTCTTCTTATCAGTATAATCAATCATCTATCACTCTCGTTTAGGGCTCATAATATCACTTAATTGGACACTGATCTAATTTTTGACAAACAAATAATACCTAAAACATTATTATAGCTTACTCAGTGTTTTTTTTTTAGTATTTTAAATTTTTAAATGATTATTTTAAATTTAGATTGTTAAAAAAAAAAATTTTAAATAATTTTATCTTATCATAATTGATTTTTAATCAACAAA